AACGTTGCCGTATGCTATTTTTGTTTTAGTGTATGGAGATCTTGTCAGATTTACTAAACTTGATGCAGTAAGATGGATTCCTAAGCTCAAAGAAAAACCTGAAGGTGCGTGTGGTTCATGTCAAAAAGGTAAACAAACTAGAATTGCACACAAACCAGGTCAGTTTCTTCCTACATCTGACTATCGTAAATTGTTACACATGGACTTGATGGAGCCAATTCAAACTGAAAGCCTCAGTGGTAAGAGTATTTATGTGGTTGTTGATGATTTCTCTAGATACATTTGGGTAGACTTCTTAAGGAAGAATTCTAATAGTTTTGAAAGATTTGCATTTCTATATAAAAACTAACCACCAAAAACACTTTGATGGGACTAAAATTACAAGAATTAGGAGTGATCATGGTAAGGAATTCGAAAATGCTAGGTTTTTTTGATTTCTGTGAAGAGTATAGTATTTTTCATGAATATTTTGCTCCTAAAAATCTTGAATAGAATGGTGTTGTTGAGAGGAAAAATAGGTCACCACAGGAAATGGCTAGGGCAATGTTGAATAGTAAAAAACTTACTTTTGAATTATGAGTTGAAACTGTAAACATTGCTTTCTACTTTTTAAATCACGTATCCTTGAAAACCGATCCCTCACTAACACCTTATGAAATTTGGAAAGGTAACAAACCAAATTTTAAATACTTTCATACTTTCGGACTTTGGTAGCAAGTGTTATGTGTTAAATAACAGGGAACATTTGGAAAAATTTGATGTTGAGAGTGATGAATGAGTGTTCATTGGGTATTTTGAAAATAGTCGGGCTTTTAAAGTATATAACATGAGGCCCTAATGAAAAAATGTTCATTGGGTATTCTAAAAATAGTCGGGCTTATAGATTATATAACATGAGGAGCCTCATTTGTATACTATTCAACAAGGAGTTTTTTTGCTATTCAACATTTCTCTACCCATTTCATGTAGATACCTATTCTTCATCTCAACAACATCAATCTGCTCAGAGGTTTTAGGAGCAGAATATTCATGAAAAATACCATACTCTTAACAGAAATTAGAAAAGCTAGCATTTTCAAACTCTTTACCATGGTCACCCTTAATTCCCACAATTTTAGTCCCCTAAAGTTTTTTTTCGGTGGTCAGTTTTTGATATAAAAATGTAGATCTCTCAAAAATATCAGATTTTTCCCTTAAGAAGTATATCCAAGTGTATCTAGAGAAATCATCAACAACCAAATAGATATATCGTTTACCACTGAAACTTTCAGTTTCAATTGACCATGTCAAGTCCATGCGTAACAATTCAAGGTAGTGAGAGGTAGTAAGCAACTGGCCTTGTTTATATGCAGTTTTAGTTTGTTCACCTTTTAGACATGAACCACACACCATTAGGTTTCTTTTGTAGCTTAGGAATTCTTTTACTACATCAAGTTTAGTATGTCTGACAAGATATCCATATTTCAGGTGTCTCAATCATTTGTGCCATAGGTTTGTAAAGTCAGCTTTTGAAACATGACATGAAACATCAGATTCAAGCAAATAACATTTGTCACTAGACTTAGCACCACGTAGGTCACATTTACCATCATTTTTCAATACATTACATGTGCTTTTAGTAAACATTACTACGAGTTCATCATCGCATAATCGACATACACTAATCAGATTATCTTGTAAGTTAACCACAAACAACACATCATCTAAGACAGGTAATCCATTTATCACGATACCAACACCCTCAATTTTACTTTGGACACCATACCCAATGGTAACAAGTCCACCTGCATGACTTTTAAAATTTGTTAGCACAGAGCGATTACGAGTCATATGTCTAGAACAACCACTGTTAAAATATCCAGAGTTGGGCAAATGGATTTATAAGCTACATGAACAACGTAGCAACTAATATCACTTTTTTTTTTACCCAAACCTGCTTTATTCTAGCATTAGAATTTTGGTTTAAAGTGCCAACTAGCAAGTTAACTCTTTTTGTGTGATATTAGTTTTTGTGTGATAAATAGTGAAATGAATTATGTCCATACTAACACAAAAACTACATTTGACAGTGTGATGTGACTTACCTCTTAGATTGTGAGACTGAGATTTTACCTAATTACATGATGGTATAGTCTGAACCAATTGTTTGGAGGTAGTCAGAACAAGCGAGTGTTAGGCAGACACTGATTTTGACATATTAGCAAGGGTTTCTTTGGAACTTTGGTTGTGGCCTCAGATGTCTGAGCTGATGATTTATAATACATGGATTCTTTGACAAATTTCAACAGAGTGAACTCTTTTTCCTTTCCTTTTCCTTTATAGCATAATCCTTCTTTAGTATTTGAGGTTCTTCCATAGCTAAGAATTTCAGTTAGGTGATGTCATTTAGCTTGGCTCTCATTGTTAGTTGGTAATGTCACTTAGCTTGGCGTAGAAATCTTTGAAGTGTTTAGCATCCCTCATTGTTAGTTGCTCAAATTCAAGTGTAAGCATTTAGAGTTTAGAAGACTTTACAATGGAAGTTCTATCAAGAGTGACTTGCAATATGTCCCACGTTTCCTTAGCCATCTTGGATGTAGAAATCAAACGAAATTTATCAGAGTCTACAATTGAGAAAATAACATTTAGGGTTTTCGAATTCGGACTATCATTATTAAAATCGGTAGTAACCGACTCATCTACCCTTTTTTTTTCTCTTTTTACATCTTTTTCGATCATAATGAGAGTTTTATAGCTATACACGATTGAGTGCATGCTTTCTCATCTAAAGATTGGACATGACTTGCATTCTAATTTTTCAATACGAATAGTTTGTCCTATATAGAACAAGAGGTTTAAATGGTGCACCGTCTAGAACTAGGTTTAACGTGGATTACACTTTTTAAAAGTGAACCCGCTCTAATACCAAGTGTAAATACTTAAACCTAGGAAATTAAAAATCTGTTTGGATTATTCTCTTTAAACAGCGGACAAGAGGCATTCAAAATATCCTATTACCATTTTTTTAGCAATTTTGACTACAGCGAGCACATATCAGTGTTGTAAGGTTTTAATTAATTACGAAAATTAACTAACGTATTAAAATATGAACACTAGACATAATGTGGTAAATCCCAAAGGAAAAATCCACTGGCCCCCATGCCACGAGTCAAACAACAGTCTCAATTTGTAATTCCGCAAAATTAACAAATAACAATCAAAAGAAATTTAAGAACAACTCTCTCATTTTCTCCTTCTTTTAACTTATTGTAGAAGTGGAATCAAACCCCGTTCTTGATTTTATTGCCACTTCACTGTTGTACTTGGCAGCAATCACCATTTAGATTAAGAATCAAAATTATTAACTTACGCCAACAACATGATGTTTGAACTTGATTGACCATTCACGCTCTAATTCGTTTTCTTCAAATATGGTTGAAGAACGACGTTTTGCTTTGAATATAACGGGTTAATAACCCAAATGGTCATTGAACTTTGTAAAAAAATTTCAAATGGTCACTGAACTTTAAAACTCACCCAAGTCATCACTGAATTTTGCAAAAAGTTTACACGGGATCACTGAACTTTAAAAATCACTCAATTCATCACTAAATTTTGTAAAAAATTTCCACAAGGTCACTGAACTTTGCAAAACGTTTCCAAGGGGATCACTGAATTAGTGATGCCCTGGGAAACTTTTTGCAAAGTTTAGTGATGAATGAGATAATTTTTAAAGTTTAGTGACCCGTGGAAACCTTTTGCAACGTTCAGTAAACCCATGTAAACTTTTGCAAAGTTCAATGATGACTTTGGTGATTTTTAAAGTTCAGTAATCCTGTGAAAACTTTTTGCAAAGTTCAGTAACCATTTGGGTTATTAACCCGAATATAACCAATGAAGTTTGGAGTCCGTTTGACCTTGCATGATTTTGGCAATCCTTTTCATAGTAGGTCGCAGACAAGTCTCCCAAGGTTTCAAAAGCAATTAAATTTGTCCCTTGATTTCTTGTTTTACTTATGTAAAGTAATTTTCAAGACAAGAATTGAACTAAGGCTATGTTTGATAGCCATGGTTTTCCATGGAAAATGGAAAACAATTTTTATTTTCCATGTTTTGGCTTGTTTGATAATAATTTTTTGCCATGGAAATTTTTTTTCTTACTTTACTCCACACGTGCACATTTTCATAGAAATTGTGGAATTAGTTTTCTCACCATTTTGGTGGGAAAATGGAATTCCAACTTTTTTTTTTTTTTGGCAATGGAAACAAATTTTATAACCAATTGTGGAAAAAAATTATCTCTTTAATGAACAATTTTCATGTAAAACAAAGCTAAACGAACACTAACTTTGATGAAAAATGATTTTCTTGTAAATATTTTTTTTTTGTTTTTTACTTTTTGGCAATGAAAACAATTTTTATAACCAATTGTGGAAAAAATTATCACTTTAATGGACAATTTCTATGTAAAACAAAATCAAACGAACATAAAAAGATCTTAAAATTTTTCGGGTGGAAAATTATACCAATTAAACACACTTAGTTAAGAATTCATTGAAAAAACAAGTTCCAGGTAATTATTTTCTCTGGAATTCATTTTCTTTCCACCAATTTTATACCCTTGCAATCAAACGGACCCTAGCATAAAAATCAACAATTAAACACAGTAAGGATATAATAGAATCATAAAAGATTTATATGATAAGGTAATAAATAGACTAAAAGAAAGTTTAATATATATACCAATCTTTCCTTAACTTTAATTATTTAACCTATCAAATAATATTTAGGATGGTAAGTAAATAAATCTGTAGTAGCGCGAAACTAAAAATCGTCTCATGTTTTGGGTGTTAAAATCCTAAAATCCGTAGCCATAGAATTCTGTTGAAACATGTATCATCCAATCAGTTAGGACTCACTACCTGCTTGAACTACATCACTTTTCCTTGACAATTAAAATTTAGTCTATATTAAGTAAGCCAATAAAATTGTTATGTATTTCCAACAAAAATTGAAAACTGAAACAAAAACCAAACAAGCCCTAAGTTTCGTAAAATAAAACTTGATATGAATATCATTATCTCCATGTGCAACCACAATTAAAGCTGAAGTTCATGTAAAATATCATATCACACTTCTTATTCTAGTGAGCTCCTTCTTTCTTCTTATGGTCAACCATGAAAGATCTTTCTTTCTTTATATAACCAAATTTTTTATACTTCTTTCTTGTTCAGATGGTTACAAAAACAATCTTTAGCATGAAATATTCCACAAAACTTTACAACTATAAAAGGGATTTATTCTACATGTACATAGTATTCCTACCTTGTTGTTTTTGATGAAAGGAACTTGAAATTCTTGAAAATGAGCCTTTGAAATCACCTTCTAGACCTTTTTTTCCTTGCTTCTAGAGAGAAAATTGTGTGTTTGTGTGTGTAGAGAGGGACCAAAAGGGAGAGAGGAAAATAGAGTGAGACGTGTGACAGGGGACTCATGGGAGCTAAAGTTTATTCTCTTGTACTTCATTCTCTTGGTCTAGGGTTTAAAGTTTTAGGGTTTCACTAGAAGGAAAGAAATTACGAGAATAGAGGGGCGAAATTCTTTGCTTGGGGAAGGGGTTTGGACACTCTCCTCTACTCAAACATGGTATTTAAGGAATTGAAGAAATAAGGAAACAACGTGAATAATAATAAAAATCACCATAAATAATGTTTCCTTTTTTTTTTCTTTTCTTTTTGCAACATGATAAATTTCTAAAAGCGTCATCAAATTTTTGGTAATCACTATATTCAAATTTGAATCACAATTTGATTGAATAACGTCCAAAATAAATTATTTTATTCAATTACTGCGAATAAATAATTTAACATAAATTTTAGAAAATTAGAGATAATTAAATATCAAATTATTCTCTTTTAATAAGTTGGACTTTTCTCATCATTGGACCTCGATCAAGCTTTGACTCCCTATCGAATTAGGAAAATAATGCTAGACATTAAATAAATACCGTCACATTCTATAAAAGTTCGGGAAATTACACTAACATACACTACAACAAAATGTACTTTTTACGGCGTGCAATGCATGCCGTAAAAACCTCTTTACGGCGTGCGTATAAAATCATGTCGTAAAAAGTGGTGTACCTTTTACAGCGTGCAGAGTACGCCGTCTATGGAACGCCGTAAATGTGTTTTAAGGTGCACACCGTAAAAGGTAGACCAATTTTTACGGCATGCAAAAATACATGTCGTAAAAAGTGGCCTACCATTTACGGCGTTCAACTACACGCCGTAAAAAGTATCTAACTTTTTACTGCGTGCTAAAATGCATGCCGTAAATGAGTTTTACGGCGTTCAACTGCACGCCGTAAAAAAGTATGTCACTTTTTTATGACGTGCTAAAATGCATGCCGTAAAAAGTGGCCTACCGTTTACGGCGTTCAGTTACATGCCGTAAAAAGTATCTAACCTAAACTGCATGCCATAAATGAGTTTTACGGCGTTCAGCTTTTT